TCTCGTCATGCACGAGGGACTTCAAGCACTGTCGAACTCCTCGTAGGTGAGCCGTTCGTCTGGATCTGTATCATCTCCCGAGGGCCCTGAATATCGTATGAAGAGACCGGATACAGTACAAGGGCTCGCCTCGATTTCGGCCCCTTGCGCATTGGTCCTCAGTAGCCTCTGTAAGAGCACATCTAGAGGGATCTTGTCTATCCCCTGACACGTTTGCGTGATCATACAAGTGCGCTAAAGGAGCCCACCGTCTCTTCCTTCCTTATCAACGCCAGTAGAGCATCGACGACATCCCTTCCCTCAGTGCTGAAGGTCGGTCTGTGGTTCACGTATAACCTCACCTAATAAGCAATCCGGTATCAACATCTAGTCGGAGAACTTCGTGAACGGATGTAGCATTCTGAGTGAACTCATGCAGTTCCTTTGGACATTGGTGATAGAGACAATGCCCATGTTGAATGGCAATTTCAGCAGGAGCTTCGAAATGGTGCAACTTACGAATTCTTCAAAGGTAATCTTCTCCACATACCGACCAGTTTCGAAGAACCTCGAATACCGAACCTCAGCAGTCATATTTTGGATCTCCAATTGACTAGGGAAGAATCTGAGCGAACTAGATACTTGCAGGGTGCAGGGATCGAACCGGGGACCTCACCCTAATGCGCACATCATGTTGGGTATTTCCGCAATCGGAATCATCCCATCCAGCTTTCTGGCCCGCATCGTCTGTTCACCTTCAAGGAAGCCCTGCTATTCCCCATAGTGCTGGAATATATGCTCAGCTGATCTTCGGAAATTCCTCAATTATAGGAATTTACACACAAAGTCGGGTAAAGTCGTCTCGAAATCAATGAGAATTTCCCGAAATTTTCCCGAAATTTCGATTAATAGTCGTAGTGGGCCATGTGCATATCTCCCCACGCTGACACCATCGTGTCACCTTGGCTCCTCAGTTGACTATAGTAGAAGAACTGCTTCATGTCTTTAAGGAGCTCCCCCTCCCTGCCTCCTTCGATCATCGACATGTACGACTCGATACCATCAAAATCGGCCGCCTGCAAGGACACGTCTTAGTTGACTCCATCGTGCTTGAGTGAGAAGCACCTTGGCCAGACTCGACACAGTCGCCATAGACTCGGTGTTCACCGCCCACTGATTGAGCGTAAGGTCAGCACCACCGACAGTGAAGACGTATTTACCCTGAGACCAACCGACTTGCCCCCTGAGCCCTCGACCCTCGAGGGTCACCTCGTAACTGACGGCCATAGCGGCCACCTTTCCAGGGTGGGCTATGATACCCATGTACTTGTGCGGGTTACCATCCAGAGGCAGCTGGATGATCCCAAGTACCTGATCCTTCCTTCACCACAGGCCACGCACCCCTCCACCTCACGCTCTCCGTGTTGGTGAATACTATGAACTGCCCTTCGTCATTGGCCGGGTTCATCAAATCTGAAGCCCCATCGCCCTCGGCAATCTCGTCAGTCAACTTCTGACCTAACAAGCCGCTTGCCGGTCCAACACACCCATCACGATGACTACGATCAGGTCTAGGCAGGGGCACCATCCTCTCCAGGGGTCCGCCTAATATCGGCGCCAGCGAAGTCGATCTGAAGGGCCCAGAGGGTGGACCTTGTCCCTAGATGCAGTATGCTGCAGCCAACCTGCAGTTGCCATCAATGGTATTCCAAACCTTCAATTTGAAATGGTCATCGGAGACGAGGATCTTACTATGATCCCCTCTAGCGCCGAAGGGGAACCACATAGCCCCTAGGGGCCGGGCCTGCTATATACAGCCTATTCCCATCCGTTCCTCTATTGTACCCACCTCCTGAGAAATCGTCCACGTACTGGTTATGAACAAGCCTCTATCTTCCGAACTGTGCTTCACACTGTACTCGACCAATCTGAGGGAACTCGTGTCGATTCTGGAATCCGGTCAGGCGCCTACCGCCCGTCTTGACCGATGGAGAAGAGTCTCGGTTCAGGTCCGACCTCGGGCCCACTGAATGTAAGGGTGGCTATCGGCCGATGATGAGAGCGGAGCTTGCCTACACTCGACCAGTTGCCATATGGGACACGCGGATCCTCGTTACCTCCAAAGACCCACTCACGAGGGGCGGTCGGATTAGTCGGTACAATAGAGAGTTTGTAGAGGTAGACGCATTGGTCCGAGTGGGCCGTGGCACAACAGGCTGAGTCGTGGGAGAAAGCGATATGGACTACAGACTCGTGGGAGTCTCTGAAGGCGGCCAGCTGAGGAGCACGAATCACAATAGGCACATGAGACAGATCGAAGACTGCCCTATGAACTAAGACCATAGACCTATGGACATACCAGGAAGATGTTCGAAGAGTTCCAGGGAGTAAATCTCTCAGTGATCGACCTTAAAAAATGTTCCAATACGTATTAGACGCTTATGACTGCATGACAGAGTTGCTCGTCTCCACAAGGACGTGCGTTTTAGAGGAAATGCTCGATATGACTAAGCTATTAGTGGGGAGCACGCGTACTGAACTCGGGACGGGCTGAAGTTGTACTGCAATCTGCAGCTGTATAAACGAAGTAGGATTAACCCTTAAGTAGGCATCGGACGACAACAACAACAACAACAACAACGACAACAACAACAGCAACAACAACAACAACAACAACAACAACAACAACAACAACAACAGCAACAACAACAACAACAACAACAACAACAACAACAACAACGCCAACAACAACGCCAACAACAGTAATAACAATCGAATTCAGTAATACCACCTACGATCAGAATATAGCCCAGGACATAGGACGATAGTATGTTTGCACGGTATTGTTATTAACTAAGTGCGATTACCTCAGAGAGGTCGGAGGCGTCGAGGAGTTTGCAATGGCCGTTGGTGAATCCAACAAAGAGACGCTCACCGTCAGGACTGTACTTTATGACTCGCGGTACCTGCATGGGGGAGCGGTGATGCCCACCAAGTGATGGGTAACAACAGCCGCATACAAGTTTCTCAAACACTCTCCCTAAGGTCATCCTTTTATCGCAGTATTCCCAGACCTGTAGGAGGCCACTGTTGCCGCATATTGCCACTAACGGCAAGTGTGGGTGACAGTCTAACCCGTATATGGCTGAGTCGACTCCTGAGGGAACATCTGAGATTTTGAGACTGACCGAATGTATCGAGAAGTGTCACGTGCACACTGAGATGATGACTGAGTCCACAGTTAGGATCACCTTGGTGA